AACTAAGTAGATTTTGATAGTGAAGGTCTTATAGAGGAATCATGAGACTGAGGAGACAACTTGAGAGACCAAAAAAGATATGTAACTCTAGTATCCACATCAGTTTCACCAAGGTAAATTTTGATGACGAAATTTATTCTTAGAAGGAGAGAGTTATAACGCCCCAAATTTTTAGGTTAGTAGTTTTGGGCTAACTCCAGAGAGAGTTTTGGGTAAACCTAATGGGTTAATAAGAGACCTTGGTCTATATGTATAATGAATTGGGCTTGGGCCAAGCCAAATATGAAATAAAAAGTATATTTTTTTATTTTGGGTTAAATAAAGAAGGATTAAAGTTGTAGTTTTTCCCAAAAGTCTTCTAAAGGCTAAAATTCTTTTATGAATCTTATGTCACCCGTTAGAATCACCTCTTTATTCTTGTCTTCTTTCTTCTTTCGAAACATTATTCTTCTATTTTCCTTGTAAGTTGCCAAAGGTGAAAGCTTTACCATTTATTCTTGTTAAACTAGATTTAGTAAAGTAAGGAAAGTAATCTCCATTCCTAGAGCTTTCTTTTGAGCTTTCCATCTCCACAAATGGTTTTTATAGCCATGGAAGAGGTTTAGTGAGGGTTTTGTGTTTTAGACATTATGGTGATTCTAGCTCATTTTTAATGTTTATAATTATATATCGACCTCTCCTAAGTATTTTATATGAGCTAATAACTTATTCCTTCACGGTTACTAGCGAGAGAAGTGGGTGAAAGCTCAAAGGTAAAAGACAAAGAGAAAGAGGTCATTGGGTGAGCTTAAGGTTGTTTCTCAAACTCCTAGCTGTAAGGTAACACATTTTTAACCCTCATCTACTGATTGTAGATTGATATGTGTAGTTTTGATGCTTATATGTTTGTATAAAGCATTTGGGGTGTATTTGGGTTTATAGCATGAAATAATAATTTTAATGTTGTTCATGCATGAAGTAATGACCTTTTATGACCCTTTAACTCTATATAAGCCTTAAACACCCTTTGGGGGTCTTGGGAGTGCCTTAAGAGAGAACTGGAGAGTTATATATGAAAGAAACATATTTTTCTAGGTAATGGGTATCGCTACTATATGAATAGTATCGATACTAGTTGTTAAAATAGGCTAAAATATTAGGGCTTTGTGTGGAAGTATTGATACCTATTCTTGAGGTATCGATACTCGGGGGTTTAATATTGATACTCGAGGTTTAGTTCAAATTCTAGTGAGCTATTTTGGTATCGGTACCTATGTAAGTATCGATACTATAAGGAAGAGTATCTATACTCTAGGTGAGAGTGTTGATACTCGTGCAATTTTTTAAAAAATCAAATAGGAATTTGGTACTAGTACTCGGGGTAATACCGATAACACTGAAGAAGAGTATCGTTTCCCTAGGTAGGGGTGTCGATACTGAGGATTATGACAAATTATAGTGGGATATTTTGGTATTAGTACTCGGGGAAGTATCGATACCCTAAGCAGGGAAATACTGACACCCAAGGTTAAATATTGGTATCGTTAGGAAATTATAGGCTATGAAATTTGCTTGCATTAGGGAGCCGAAAAGGGGTTTCAATTAAGGGGATACTTTTTTCTAAGATTACAAGTGATAACCTTAATAATTATGTGATAACATAAGGTCATTATGAAGTAAGATTCCATAAGACTTATGCCTTGTTTGATGCTCAGGAAAATCGAGACACCTGAGTTACTTGTGTTTGACGATGGTCCAGTTGAGTAAGGGATTTATTTGGATACATTCAATTTAGTGCTCTGGCATTCAAAATACTAGTTGGACGTCGTTTTGATGATAGGTGACCCAGTCACGTCCCGAGTACACAAAGGGAATAGACTAGCTAGGTAAGGTGTCGACGCTTTGTGGCCCGGACCTAGCCTATGGTACTATAAGATACTGATGCCATGTGACCCACATCTTACTCGAGGTACCTTTGGTAAGTAAATAGGGGTGTAAGTTACGTGATGCTATGGTGACCCCGAGCCACCCCATGATACTTGCCTTGTTGTGTTATATATGCACTCACATTTTCATAACCATACTTGTAGCATACTCATTTGTTAAATGAATGTAGTATTGTTGGGTTATTTGTGTAGCACTGAGCTTGTGAGCTCAGCGTATTTCTATGTGCATGTTCTTAAGTGTCATTCGAGGAGTTCATCATTGGATATCAAGATTTCTAGACTTGATCTTTTATCAGAGTACATCTCGAATATTTTAGTAGACATGTGCTATCTTAGACCCTTATGTAATATCAAGTCATAAACTCTATTTTAAACTTATGTATTTTGGAGACTATTGTTGGGAGCTCCCCCATAAGTTGTAAGCATATATAATTAGTATTTTTATCATGATTTGAATGTTTGAATATGCTAAATGATTTCAAAAAAAAATAGTAACCACTTAGGTGGTTTTGTGTAATATTCTAATCACCAAAGTGACTAATCATTCATTTTTTTCCTTTTGAAACCATACTCATTTTTTAAAACATTTACAAAAGCATGAAACCATTTAAAAAATGGGCCACTAATTTAGAAAATCGATAAATAAAATAAATAATTAAAATATTACAAATTGACTCATTTCAAATCATGACCTCTACATGCCCACTAAGTCGTCATCACTGTACTATGGTACTCCGCTGAGACTTTTATGATAATAGCGTTATCCCATCATACTCAACGAAACCTGAAACCCGCGAACGAAAATATATTTCAAACACTGAGCTCACAAGCTCCTTGCCATACAATATCTCTACAACACTATATGTATTCATAACATAAGCATGTTAACAAGTATAATTGGAGAAGCAATACTATTATGCCATCAATGCTACCAATCTATCTATCCAAAGTACATTCACTATCATAATAGTGTGATTTTCATGCTTCCCTTAACTCATAACTAAGGCATTACTATGAGTGTATATATATTGAGTCTCTAACTATATTACCATAAAACTATGCATCATCATATGCAACAAACAATCATCAAACACGCAAACAAAGGTAGAAATCATTGTATAGTTGGAGGGTCACTTAGCATCTCGGGACTACCACCCTTATATCCTACCTAAAATACCCTATATAAGACCCATGCCAATCATATCAGGATCTTCATTTAGAAAGATCTTCATTACCAGTACCTAGGATGCCTCCGGGGTCACATAGCATCGGAGCCTATGTCTTACTAGTTTACTCATCGGGAGGACTTGAGACGCTTCCGAGATCATATAGCATAGGAGCTTACGCCCAACTAGCATTTTAAGTGCTTTAACACTAACTCATGCATATTTGGATATTTCTAGCAAATAAGATGATAGTCGTATACAAACAAACATACAATGGTGCCCATAGGCCAAACACATCAAACAATGCCATTCAAGGACAATTAAGGTAGCTTGACTACTCACTAACATAGTTCATCACAATCAGGTAAGGTCATTCCCTTACTCGTTATTTATATCACTCATTCTCTCATCTAGAATATTATGTAAGGGTTTACTAGCCTTTTAGTGTTTTATGCCCTTAAGGCAGTTAATATTCATCTATACGCATTTGGTATATTATTATTAACCCAACACCCAACTCAGGTTGGTTAATCGATAACGACTCTCTAACTGCTCGTATCATATCTTCCCTTAATTCACCATTGAATTGAAGTGATGAATTGTACATTATCATAATATATAAGTAACTCGAGTGTCCTTATTGTTTCTCGAGTATCAAACAAATGTATGAGTATTATGAAATCTTACTTCATAAGATTCTTATGATTATCACACAATTTATTCAATCTTTGTTCTTGCAAACTTTATTAAGAGGTTTTAGACATTTTTTCGAGCCTTTGACTCAAAGTTAGACTTTTGATCCAGATCAATATGATGGTACATATATTGTACTCTTCAGTATTGATACTGGCCTCTCAGTATCGATACCCACCTTTGGTACCAGTACTAAATTTAGCTACTGGAATTTGTAATTCAAATATGGTATCGATATCTCACCCTTTGGTTTTGATACTCGACAAACAATATCAATATTATATGAATAGAGCACGAATAGTACCTAGTGAAATATTCTTACTGAGTTTTCATGAATAAGCTCTCATTATTTAGCTAAGCATCCCATATCATTATTTAATCAATATGCAACTCAACCTCTTACTCGTATGGGTTATTTTATTCAGTTAGACCCATAAGGATAATTTGGTAATTTTATCCCCAAAGGGCATTTTAGAAACCTCTTGCACTCGAGCTAAATGTCTAACCTCAATTGATATTAAGTTCCCCACTCTCGTATCTTTTAAGTATCTTGAAGTTACTCAACTACTTTAGGTATTGATACCAAGGCTTCGATATGGATACCTAATCTTTGATATGGATACCAGTTTACCCAGTATGGATACTATCCCTTCAGTATGGATACCAGTTTATCTGGTATGGGTACCAACCCACTAGTATTGATACCAGGCAGTCGATATCAAAACCGAGCTTTCGGTATCAGTACTACAACCCTTAGTACCAATACTAAGAGAACAATATGGATACTAGTTCATCTACTATCGATAATGACACCTAGAAAATCAATTTTCACCCAGAATATGAATAATATTAATACCATTTCATCGGGTATCGATTATGTTGCCCATAAATACACTATTTTACTTAGAAATCACCTCTAAACTTATCCCAAACACTTGATTTAAGGTCTAAGTTGATTATTAAAACTTACGAAAGTTATTAGGGGTTATCATACATCAGTTTTACATCAATCTAACATCAATAACAACAAAATCAGGAACCCAAGCCCTCACATGCTCTTCCACCCCATGCAAACACGAAAACTCGTGTAGATGACATAAAAGTAGTAAGGAAGAGTTATTGTGTGTTACCTCAGTTCCGTAACCCAAAAACTTCTATAGCTTACCAAAAGATAAACATTTCCTTGACCTATCTCAATAGGGGGTCTCTACACCACTTTTTTATCACCTAAATGCCAACCAATGATTCCAACATAAAAAAGAAGAATATTAGTTGTTAAACAATAACCAAACCATATGAAAAGCGAATGGAATCAAATGAGGAAGCCTTTGGAGCTCAAACCCTCCCAAAATTTCATGAGAGCTCAAGGACACCATTTATAGAGATGATGAGCTTTTCATGAAGCTCAAGAACTCTTGATTATGAATCTTACCTTTAGATTTTTGAATTGAAGAAGGAGAAACATTAAATCTTTTCTCTTGTTCTTGCTTGAGTGGGAAAAAAAAGAAGAAAAAAGAAAGATAATGAAGAAGAGAAAAGGAAGAAAAAAGAAGCCCTCTATAGCCATTAGATTTAAATAAATAAATGGCTTAGATTTAATTAAAATTTATAACCCATAAATAAATATTTCTTTAACTCACAGTAAAATAATATATTTTTTCTTTTAAGGTTAGAGTTTAGGGTTTAAAATTTAAGATTTAGGGTTTATGATTTAAGTTATATGGTTTAGAATTTAGGGTTTAGAGTTTAAGATTTAGAGTTTGAGGTAGGAGTTTTAGAGTTTAGGGTTTAAGATTTGAGATTGAGGTAAAAAGAGAGATTGTTTTACCGTAAGCTAAAAGATATTTATTTATGAGTTATAAATTTTAATTAAATCTAAGCCATTTTTTATTTAAATCAAATGTCATATTTAAATTATGCTACTTTTATTGGTTTAGGTATTTAAACTATTTTTTGGTTCAACTAAGCAGTACTATATGTAACCACTTTAAGTACCATAATTATTTTTTGTCAAAATAAGTCCTTAAACTATACCATTTTTATTTTAAGCCCTTAGAATATTTTTTTTGTCAAACAAGTACCTAATTTTATATGAAGTGTTAATATCTTATTGATAAAAAATAATTTTCTAACAAAAAAAGTATTAGGACTTAAAATAATTAAATATAATAGTTTAAATACATAATTTGACCAAAATATAACTTTAGTACCTAAAGCAAAAAAGGAGCATTTACTTACACGGCCTCATGTGATCCCTTCCAACTTATACTTTTAAAAAATAAATTTGTGTTCGATTTTACACACCAAACAATCGCTATTTTCCTATATTATTTTAGCTATTTTTTTATTTATTATAATGTTGTTTACAGAGCTATTGTTATATGGATTTATGTAGAAAAAAATTCAAAAAAAAAAGTGCATGGGTTGGTAATTTTTAATTGAGTTGGTACTTGATTAGATCGTTTTAAGTACTTATTTGACTGTAAGCCAGTTTTAATTCTAGCGCTTACTTCTTTATTTTCTTTAACCCGTTCAACTTTTTTTCTTCTATTTTTTGTTAGCAAGTGTGTTGTCATCAATATTTCTTTTTTTACCTCGTATTTTATTTTATTTTTTTAAATAATTGTTTTTATGACATGATTTTTTCTGCCTATGGTTCATTTTTTTGTTTTTATGACACGGGTTTTATTTTTTCGATCGTTTATTTTTTATTTTTCTCATAGTTGGATTTGATGTCTCCAAGATTGATTAAGATAGCGCTGATTTGTTATCCCGCTAATCTTTGTTGCTTTACACCATCAAATTAGATTTGAATACACAACTTATGATCGTAGATAATTCTATCATGATGCTTGGTTCTTATTTGTATTTTACCAATGATCTTTTTATAGTTTAATCACATATTGTAGTTCGTTGGTCGTAATAGTCAAATATGTTCTTATATACCTTTTGTTCCTGATTTTGGATGAAATTTTCACATTTTCCTTGTATGGTCATTATATAATCTTAACTTGATAGTTTCTTGTTTTAATGGTTACATGAGAATATCTCAATTATGTGTTTAGTTTACAATTTTAATTGTAAACTATTAGTATAAATTTTGATAATTTTTACCCCTTAATCAAATTAGCTGCTTATGTTTAAGAAAAATGAGTTTTGGACACAATTGAAAAAGGTCGAAGTCTTGTCTTTGATTACTATCTTACTTGATTTTGTGTAAATTTTATAGTTAATACTAGTTTTGATTTGATATAATTTAATACTCCTAATGACTGATTTTGATTATAATTATATTCAGAAATCAAAATTTGTAATTTAATAAAAAAGTTAAGGTATCCAAAAGGAATATACTGAGGGTATTTGAATATGGTGTCACTGATAACCCCGTAAAAAGGTTATATTTCATGCCTTTTTACTTAGGTTATTGGTTGTTCAAAAGCCCACTTAGTTGCATATAGTTGCATTTAAACCCAAGTAGTTGCATATTGTGTTGTTGTTTTGCTACAACATTTTATTCATGAAATTGATACTACTTAAAAGGAAAGGTGGTGTTCTAATGATGATGTGTAGATAAATATGACCGAAGGAGAAGTGGAGAATTATCGTAGCATATTGGGTAAGGAGACTCGGAGAAATACTGTAGGATTCTAGACAACATTTAAGAATATGAAGATATTTTTAATGATGCTGCCATCTGCCCATCTCACGTGTAAAATTTCCGTTTCAGTCTACCCTTCACGTGAAGGGAATAATTCCTTATGGTACAAAACCCTAGGAGCCCCACTATATAAGGTTAAGGATACCTCATTTTAAGAGAGTTTTTTGGAAAATATGAGATAAGAGATATAGGAAGTGGCAATTGCAACAAAAAAAAACCCTCCATTTTTCTTTCTTTTCTTCCTCATTTCTTGGTGTCCTCTATATCCAAGCTCTAAGGGGATAATATGCTAGGCCTTTGAGAGAAGCTTGCTTGCCAAGGCTGTTCAAAGCTCATGACATTTCACACTTGGGAGTTTCCTTCTTCTTTAGTTTTTTTTTATTTTTATTTGCTTCTGGGTTTGTAATGAAACAAATGTGAAGATGTTTGATTCTAGCCCGCCATGAACTAACTTATTTGGTGTGGGTTTATTATGGATGAACATACTTTTGTTTGAATGAATGGTTTAAAATTTTCCATGCTAAATACTTGCTTTGTTCATTTTTAAATACTTAGATTTGTAAGAGCTTTCGAAAGATAATCATTATCTATGTGTAATGCTTGATATTGAGAGAGTTTAGCTTAGATCGACGTGAATAATGAGGTTGAACTGGGAAGCAAAACCTAACTCACCTTAGAGATAAGGGTAGGGTTTCAACTACTAAAAAGGAGTATGACTTATTCGATAGTATTTTTCTACTGTTTACTCTGAGATGTATTGCTGTAGAATTTTCATTATCAAGTTTCTTACTAGAGACAGTCTAGGAACACTTTAGCAAACTCTGTCGAGCAGTATACTCATGGAAGATTTGAACACTCCAGCAAACAAGGCATAGGATTCCTTAGTAAACCCAACTGTTTATCCTTTTTGTAGTTTGTTTGTGTGAGGTTATGATACATGCATCACAAGGCTCATATCATTATCTTTATCAATTATTTATTTTATGTTTATCCTCCTTGTCTTTATTTATCTGTATTATCTTAGTGTTTATTGTCTTAATATTTCTTCTTGATTTTTCTAGCAACCTTAATCCCTACATTATCCATCTTCCACAACTCCATCATTATCTTCTTCCATTCAAATCCTTCCGCTTTCTTCATCGAGTCTAGAGCTTTCTAGGTTTGATTCCTCAACAAGACCAACAACCATCTATTCGTTCTCGCTTCTCTATCAGGTTATCAAGTTATCTTTTCTCATACCCTAGTGCTCAACTTAATTTTGCTATAGCATTCTTACTTTACTTTTTGTCATAGCATTTCACTCACTTCAATACTTTGTTACAACATTCACACCATCTGTTCATATCATTTTACAATTTATTGTTTATAGTTTTAGTGCATATACTTTACTTGATTTTCTTTCAATTCATGTGGAGATGATATTCACTCATCACTTTATTACTTTTTTGACGTGTATACTTGCACAATTTACGTATCAAATTATAGTACATCCACACACGCAACAACCACTTTTTAAAAATGTTTAGGTCTCAAATAATTTAAGTATTTTTAATATTTTCTACTGATGGACTAATTTTGCATTTAAAATTTTATAATTTCATATCCATAATTCGTTAATATATATCTATTCAATTTCATAAACCCTAACATAAAATTTTGCAATACATCCACATTACGCCCATAGATTTTGCTAATATTTTTCCCACACCAATTAACACAATTTTCACTTAACATGAAAATCTAAGAGTTTTAAGAAACAAACCTGATAAACTTGGAAATTTGCCTCAAAATGAACCCATTATACCTAAGAAACTGAAATGATAATAATCTTAAACATGCAGTAATTCTCTACTTAGGACTAGAACCCAAGAATCCCAGCTGCTCAACCAAAACATCAACATCTAAATCATCATCTTCACCTTCATCTTCATCAACTTGTAAAACTGGTATTTCTTCTTCAACATCATCATTCAACAAATCATTCCAAAACCCTTCATCTTGTAATCTTTTATCTTTATATCTTCCATCTTCTTCAACCCCAGTTATTCCCTGCAAGTCCATTGCCATTTGATCCAACTCTGAAACTTCAAATGCATCAATGTTTATATCATCATACAGTTCAACTGGTTCAGCCTTGTGCCTTTGGTTATCGATCCGCCGCCTTCTTTTGGTGCAGATAGCATCTTCAAGATCTTTTCGTTTATCTTTATTGTGTATTAATTGTTGGACAAAGTTTGGATTCTGCATTGCTTTGACTAAGAAACCCATCATCTGTTGCTGTTTCATCTCGATTTTCTGCAGCTTTTCTTCCATTACGAGAAAACAAGTCTTTGTGTTGTGCTGTTGTTGTCTGAGTTTCACTAATTCCGCTATTAAAACTTGCTTGTCACGCTTTAGCCTATCAATCTCTTCTTCAACCCCAAATCTCCCAACTTCAACACAATGATCTAAACCGCCATTAAAACCCTGGGTTTGCTGTTGCTGTGTTTTTCTCCTCCTGATAGTCTTGAGCAAATGCCTTTGCCCTCTGAGAAATCTTTCATTTGCAAACTCCCATCTATCTGGATCAACCTTTCTAAACCCCTAAAAATGCAAAATCAATGAAACTAACCAGTAAATCAAATCTATGGAGACCTATATTATACAGTTTCAAAAACATGATGAGAGAGTACTTACATAGGTATTTAGTTGCCTAACAAAGCTTGAGAAATTGTTGTGCTTGAAGAATCTAGGCAAAAGTGTCATGGAAAATGCTTGGGGATCCCAAACGATGAAGCTGTTGTTGCTTCTACTCCAAGAGACGATGTGATCGGTTCCTGAATCATCTATGATATCGTATGTTTTGGTGAGGAAAGGAGGAGGACCTGCATCATGGAGCCCTTCCATTGGCTGAGGTATAGCTGTAGCCGCCATGGAAGAAGATGGAAACTCTTGTTTAACACTTCCAAAAGGGTTCATCTTCTTGCTCGGAACCAAGAAAACAAAAGAAAACTTGATCTGATATTCTGGGTTAGTTGATTTGCAGGTTAAGAACAAGAAGAAAAGTGAAGCAATGAGATTAGATTAGATACAAGCCATGGAAGAGATGAAGCTTGAAGCACCTGAAAACTCTTGTTTAACTCCTCCATAAGAGTTCATCTTCTTGGTTGGAACCAAGAAAACTTGATCTGGGATTCTGGGTTATTTGATTTGCAGGTTCAGAAGAAGAAAAGTGAAGAACTAAGATTAGATACAAGCCATTGATGGACCCCAAAAGTTCACACAAGGGAACATGAAAAGAACACAATCTGGAAGAGTTTAGAAAGAACAGACAGATCTGTGAACATGGGTGTCATTAGGTTAAATGAATGGATTTTTAATATAAAAAAAATTGAGTATTCAATATATTCACTCATTTCTTTTGATTTTGGTTGGTGGGGGAGACTGGTTGATGATGCACTGGCAATTAGATATTCTCTGCTCTCTTCCCCACCATAACTTACTCCTTTTAGAAAGTATAAACTACTGAAAACTCTCAAGGATCTAGCATTTTTGTCAAGATGGTCCTAATTTTAAATTAGTCCCTAAATTTTTTAACATTTCAATAATGTTTGCAAAATCATTCAAGATTTTGTGGATTAAATTGGAACATTAATAAGTTTGGGGGATCAATATAGAATGAAAGTCATATTTGGAGATGAATTTAGAATGTTCAAGAGTTTAGGGACTAATATAGAATAAAAATCAACATTTGAGGATAAAATTAGAACAATTATAAGTTTAAGGACCAATTTAAAAAATTATCATTATTTAAATATGTTTAATGCAATTAACTACTGAAAACTCTCAAGGATCTAGCATTTTTGTCAAGATGGTCCTAATTTTAAATTAGTCCCTAAATTTTTTAACATTTCAATAATGTTTGCAAAATCATTCAAGATTTTGTGGATTAAATTGGAACATTAATAAGTTTGGGGGATCAATATAGAATGAAAGTCATATTTGGAGATGAATTTAGAATGTTCAAGAGTTTAGGGACTAATATAGAATAAAAATCAACATTTGAGGATAAAATTAGAACAATTATAAGTTTAAGGACCAATTTAAAAATTATCATTATTTAAATATGTTTAATGCAATTAACTACTGAAAACTCTCAAGGATCTAGCATTTTTGTCAAGATGGTCCTAATTTTAAATTAGTCCCTAAATTTTTTAACATTTCAATAATGTTTGCAAAATCATTCAAGATTTTGTGGATTAAATTGGAACATTAATAAGTTTGGGGGATCAATATAGAATGAAAGTCATATTTGGAGATGAATTTAGAATGTTCAAGAGTTTAGGGACTAATATAGAATAAAAATCAACATTTGAGGATAAAATTAGAACAATTATAAGTTTAAGGACCAATTTAAAAAATTATCATTATTTAAATATGTTTAATGCAATTAACTTTCTATATTATAAGTCATTGAATTTGGCCTCAATTTTTATACATGTAAAATAGAAACGATGACTCAAGTTTTCACTTAAAATAATTTAATGATTTTAACATAAATGATTTAATTTGTTAATAATTAAAATTGAACAATGAATCCGTTAAATTCAAGGTTTATGACCTATATAAAAACAAAAATTAAATTTGATGACATGTTAATATAAATTACCCCACATATTAAATAAGGTTTTTTTTTTATCTCAATGTGGTATCTGAATTCTATAGTATTTTGATAATATATATATATATATATTGTGTAATATTATATTTAAATTAAATATTAAGTAATTTTAATGGTTAAAGAGATTGTTAATTTTTTAAAAATCTCGAGTTTAAATATGCGTATTTGTAGGGCGTATGTGTTTTATCAATAACTAAAAAAATTCTAAAAAAATATTATTTTATAATTACATCCCACACTATTGAATATATATATATATATATATTATAAAATTTTAAATTTGATTATTAGATAATATACTTTTTACTTAGAGTATCAAATGATATATTAAAGTTAATAAAATAATTGGGAGAGTTAGGGCAAAGGGTGTGGGGTTCCCCAAAAATATCTAGTAATTGGCTTCTACTTTTTTTTTTTGGTTACAAGGAAAAACAAATTAGTGATTAAGCGGATTATAATTAAAAGAAATAAAAATTATGAATAAATATAAACAAATTGAATTCATTTTTTTTAAAAAAATATGCATAATATGTGTCACACATAATTGCATAAACACGGGTCAGTTAAATAACGGTGTTAACATGTATATATATATATATATATATATATATATATATATATATATATAAACATTATTTTCAATAACTTAATAAGTATATATTTAAAAGATTATATATTTTTTATTATCCTAGGGTAAGTACAATGTAATATCTGTTTAAAAATGACTTTTAATTATTTGATATTAAACGTTCATACTTATGACATTCGTAGTACTTAAACCTAAGATTTCAAGAAATAATAATAATTTTTTTTAATCACTAATTATGAATAAATAAAAATATCTAAATATTAAATTAACTTTTTATATTTTCGGGCGTGACGTTAATATTGATAATATTTAAGATTAAATTAAAAGAAATAAAAATTATGAATAAATATAAAAAATTGTATAATTTTTTTTTTAAAAATAAAAATATGCATAATATGTGTCACACATAATTGCATAAACACAATTCGGTTAATTAACGGTGTTAACGTATATATATAAACATTATTTTTAATCGCTTAATAAGTATACAGTTAAAATTCTATAAATTAATAATGTCAGGACCGGAGAAATTTATTAATTTAGAGAGTTATTAATTTATCGATAAATTAATAATTATTAATTTAAAGAGTTTTTAAGTAATTATACTGTACATACCAAACAAAAAGGCAAATTAGTCTATGCCTCTTAGAATTACGTTGCAAGAGACGAGTTAAATTAATAATGAGCTCCAAATAGACTTGAACTTTAAAGGAAAACAGACAACTATTGAATCATATTTCAATAGAGTGTAATATATTTTTTTCAGTTTCTATGAATTATTAATTTATGATTTTCTTGGGACCAAAAATTATAAAGGGATCTCACGAAAAATTATTATCTTATTATTTTATCGAGTTTTTCAATTTTTTACATTGGCCCAAGTCAGGACCGGACAAATTTATTATTTTAGAGAGTTTATTAATTTACCGAGTATTAATTTAAAGAGTTTCTACTGTATATTTAAAAGATTATATATATTTTTATTAACCTAGGGTAAGTACAGTGTAGTATATGTTTAAAAATGACTCTTAATTATTTGATATTAAACGTTCATACGTCTTTCATTCATAGTACTTAAACCTAAGATTTCAAGAAATAATAATAATTTATTTATTATCGAGGTGAATAAACACTCGAAAGAACTCATATCTAGTGTGAAATTAAAAATTCTTATAATCAAAATTTATTGATTTTGAATTGTTAAAGACATGTATTTCATATTTAAATTTAAATTTATAATAATACGACAATAAAAAAAGTAAATACTAAAATTTAAAGTATTTCAAAATATAATAACAGTTTAATATTAATGAAAGAAATGAAAGAAAAATGATTTTATTTTCAATTGATTGGATCAATTGAAAGTGATGATCTCAAAGAAAATTCCCAAAGCAACCACAACATCAAAGGTAAAGAGTACCTGATTAGGGATGGAGCTTTGGCCTAAAGGGCATAAATATATGGGTAAATTACTGATTTAGTATCTAAATTATCAGTTTTGATATGTTTTAATACCTAAACTTTTATTTTTTTAGAATCATAACTAATGTTTAATTTTTGTTTCATTTTAGTACTTTGCCGTTAAAAACTTAACTCGTTTAATACCTAAACTATCAGTTTTGGTCCATTTTAGTACCTAAACTTTCAAAATAAAAATTCAAAACTTAACATTAAATTTTAAAAGGGTACTAAAATAAACAAAAACTAAACTTTAGGTATATTTTAAAAAATCAAAAGTTTAAATACTAAAATAGACTAAAATTGATAGTTTAAATACTAAACGTGTAATTTATCCTAAATATTAAAAAAAACAATACCTTTAAACAATTGTCTTAGCTTACTGTGTAGAACTTTTCCGAATATGCCCGACACACCCAGTCCATATAGAACTTTAAAGCCAACTTGCTAGCTAACTTCTCAATTCTTCTTTTTTTACTTACTTCGATTAGATTTGAATATTAGAGATTCGCTATTTTCAAAATAAAAAATTATATTTCACTTTTATAAATAAAAATAATTTATTTATTTTAAAACTTTAGTTATATTTAATTATATTTTAATAAATTCTAAATTTAATTATAATCTTAGCTAGGGAAGAAGGAACACAGGCTTTTAGGAGAATGAAAGTGAATGTTGGGTATAGAACCTATAACTTGAGGGAATATGTGAGGAAATATATCAACAGTTCGATTAACCAATTAAATGTGTCTGCTTATTCAATTTTAATTTTTTTAATAGTACGAGAGGATTACAAGGTAATATCTATTCAAAATCTTTTTTAACCATTGATAATATATATATATATATATATCCAGTGGCGGATCCATAAAATTTTTCAGGATGAACACACATATATTAACAACATAAAGTTTTTAAATGGGACATGTACAAATAAAATTTCACCGTAAAATAAGTAATTAATCGAAGAAAATTCAGATTTCGAGGTGGACACAAAAAATTTCAAGGTGGACACTATCAATTAAATAAGTAACTAATCGAATAAAATTCTGACTCTCACCAAGGTGTGACTCCACCCCTATATATATACCCTTAAATGCAACTATTCAAACTTATAACCTTAAAACTAAGGTATTGGATCCCTCATAATTGGAGCCACTAGATTCCATCCCTCCAAAACGAGGAACTCTCTTGAACCCTCTCCAAAAATCAACAACATTGATTAAGTTTGAATTATTGAAAAGAAACAATATTTTAATATATTTTAATTGAATTGATATAAGATTAATATACGTTGTTTAGTCAAATCATGAACTTAATAACATTATTGACCATCGATGGTTGATTTGAGTCATATTTTAATTGTTTTATCGATGGTTGTTTATCAAAATGCACGAAATT